TTTCGTTACTCAAGGACTATTACTAATAGTCCTCTAGTAGCGTAGCCAATCAAAATGCAGGATTTGCATTAGTCCACTAGTTGGGTGATACTAATGATTATTAATATGTAATTCTAAACACTTCAGAAACTTTTCTAAATCTACAAGTTGAAATTTCTACTTCACATATAAAGGCAGCTGTTATGGTGGGCTGCTGTTGGCAGGGCAGTAGAAATGACCTCTTCATGTTGTTTTTCCCTTTTTTCCTCTTGGATGGATGATAACCAGCCTCTTTTCCAAGCAGACAGGGCATTTAGGAACTGAATGACAGGTGGATCCCAGCAAGAAATGTCGATATCATGGAGGTCCTTCATGAAGTGACTGGCCGGTTTGAGCACCACCCTAACAATTCACCTGAATACAAAACTGCTTGAGATGGAGGAACATTAGTAGGTTTCCCTCTGCCTTTCAACAGCAAGTTCAAAACCCAACTGATAATTATAATTTTTCTGTTTTTAACTGCATCAGTCATAATAAATTACATTGAAACTGCTTCAAAATAAAAACATTAAAAAATCATACACTACAAGTAATTTTCCCTAATGGCTCATGCACTGTTCTTAGTTCTGAGATTTTGGTTCTCCATCAAGATAATATCCTCTCATTTATTGCAGTTCTTTGCTAAAATGTATGTATGTTCCATGAATTTGTCCCCCAGCATCAAGCTTTAATGTCCCTGTTCATACCTTTGTTGTAAACTTCTCAAGACTGCTTTGTTGTTGACTGTGCTAATTCGTACTTACTCTTGATCCATCTGTCCTTTTCTTTCCTGTTATTCTAGCAGCAGCAGCATATGAAAGGCATCTGTCAGGTTTGTGTGATTGTCTGCAACAGCTGGTCTGTTTATATTGGTATGTTTGTTTGGTTTCAAGAGATGACTTGGTGTGGCAGTTAGGGATGAATTCTTCTAAGAAACTAACCACATTACAAGAAGTTAGTAGTTGTGAGAAAAGTTAAACATACAACGTACCTTCGTATTAAGATGATCCAAAGAGTGTTCAGTGGTGACAGTCATAATCCTGAAACAAAACACACCTGCCAAAATCAGGTGATTCCAGAGAGCTTCCTTTTAAGGATGTCCCCGAAAATGGACGAGTTTTGATTTTGATGATTTTAGTAAATAATACATGAAGTGATTGATTTGAAACAGAAGTTTGCCCCCGAAAGTGGGCTCATTTAAACAAAACTCATGTCCCTGAAAAATGGACACTTTGATTTTTTTGTTATTTAAGGCAGAAGTTTATGCTGCTGAAAGTTCACTTAATGTTAATATAAAATTAATAATGTAGCTGTAGCTATACTAACTGGTTTAGGAAAAAAGCACACTGACACTCATGTTTGGTAGTTTTATTATATGCAGTATGTATTATATAATTATTTTATTTAAGTTACATTACAATTTTACAATGTTACTCTCAGTGATTTCTTCCTGTGTTTGCCATGCTTTTTGCTCCCGAAAATGAGCAGTGCACACGAACCATGAGTACTATGCTTTTTACAATAACAACAATATCTTTACAGTGCAAAAATCCACAGGACCTAAATTAATCCATGAGGGGAAGCGCTCCTTAAGGTGAATAATTTAGCATCCAGAGAAAGCCAAGAGTGTTCCAGTGTCAGTAAAGTCAACACTTTATTTAGAACACCCAGGGCCCCTGAATGGACTTCGCATTTGTCTGTCAGCTTTGGCTTGCTAACAAGACAATGTCGTTACCAAGCCTTCACATGTTTGCAGCTGGATTATTTACCAGCACAAAAACCGAAAACCGAAAGCCGAACCAAATAGCTAATACAAATGTTAAATTTAAATTAACTAGTAAATTAAAAGCAACTGTATGTTATATTACACTGGAAGACAACACCTGTTTCAAACCTCACTTTCGTCTGCATCATATATTTTTTTAAAGCAGGATAGTTCAAACAATCCACAATGTTGCCAAATAAGGTGACTAAGATGAAAATTGGACACTGATGTCATCCTGCATTGCAACATAACATACAGGATTGCTCTCTCTCAACGTACCTCACGCCAGGTTGTGGAAACCTAGCTTGTATATCATTGCTCAGACCTTCAGCCATTGGATATTACTGCTGCTTCAACATAACTGCTGCCAGAGAAATGCTTCAATGACAAGACAAGCATACAATGGGAGCAACCAAAAGGTACTAATAACATCATATGTTGGTCTCATCCAGTGGTTTCCTTTAACCATAAATCTCAGGTGTGTCCATCCCTTTTGATGAGATAACCTTGCAATCTATCTTGATGCTGTGTGATATCTTTCAATACTTGATGATCCTGTGAGAGGTCAGTTCTCAGTCTACTAATTCAGTCCTGACTGAAAGCAATCTCTTATTAGCCTTCATAATTTGGAGTTGGGCATGAGGTTGATGACATCACTCTTGATGACATCACCCTATAGAAATGAATTTGTCTTCGAAACAACTGCGAGAAGTGAATACCAATAACAAAATCAAAGGCTAGAACTGCATTCTGGAATATAAGTACTCTCTAGCACTGGTAGATCTACAAATCTATAGGTCACAAGTTAGGTCATTAGTTCACGGAGAATGTAGGCCATGAAATATTGCTGTGTTGGGTTACTGATTACATAAGAAGAAGATAAGCATTCACCTCAGTGACAGGTATCAGTATTGAGATATCTATTCCTAAGTAGAAACGAATTAGAAGTTGATCCAAACAAGACTTTTCAGAAAGATGACTGCAATCTAGTGATGCACAACAGCAACAACAAATGTCATTCACCCTGAGCAGGTTTAGGTATTTTCTAAATGCCACAGTGGAAACTCAGAGAATTGAGGGCAAGATGTTGTAAAGGAATCATCATGAGTAAAATGTCCATCAAGTGTGATCCTTCAAAATGGTTCCTGTACAATGTAGGTATCAAATCTATGGCAAGACCAGTTCAGTAAATTTATCTGGTTTTGAGCAGTAGAATAGGATACTCCCAGAGTCCCACAGTTGCTGTTCTTAATGGCCAGTGAAACCTTGTGTTATGGGCCAGTGAGAAGTTGGTAATATTTGTATTGACGTCCCATGATGTTGTGTAGTACTCTGACTGGTTTGCAGTTCTAGCTCAGATGTAAATAATTCCTGGTGTAAATTAGTATTAATTGCTGCATAGACCTGAAGAGTCTGTAAGCCAGAGCCAATCCCAATCGAGGATCCTCGATTGAAAGTGTATTTTAAGAATTGATCAATAGTAAAAGGGAGTCATGGGAAGACATGGTTAAGGTAGTATAACAAATAATGGTTTTGCTGGTAATCTTTCGCAGCATCAATAACCTACTCATCAGTGGTATGTACTGATCCATGCCTGCAAGGACATGCACAAGTTTTCTGCAGCCACCCTAATAAAACAGAAAGGTTGAGACTCAAACTAATCATCCTCCAAATAAAGCAGAATAGAAGTATAATTTACAGTATGTTTGTCATCCAACATTTGAATAATTATAAGAAGGGGGCTCAGTGATTCAATTCACCATGACACTATCACTCTTTATACAGGTTTCTGTATTTAAAGAGATGCTGATGTACTGCTTGAACTATTAAGGTTCAACCAAGTCTTCTTCTAAAGGAATTGCAAATTCTCTGAAATTAATATTATCAGCTGAAACTGGTTAACACAGCATCCATGATGTTTAAGTTGACCATTAGAGGTCAAAATATATTGGGAATCTAGCTTAGGCAGACGCTACTACCAGTAACTCACTGGTTGCAGGCAGCAATTACATTGACATCTCTATCTGGCCCCAGTAAGGTGCATTACTGACAACTGAGAAAAAGAAAGAACTTGAACCAAGTATCATTTAGGAGAATCCTTTATCATGGAGGCTGTAGATGAATCAGCTGATATCGAACATGCTGATGAAGCTGTGGACTTTGACATTCATCAACCCTTGAAGATGTCAGTCAGGTCATAAGTGGATGAAGTGTCACTCGCTGGCTGGCTGCATAAAATGTTTCTCATAATGTTTCTCATACACGAGAGTGGGGTGAGGCAGTAACAGATATCAAAAGAGGGGGGGAGGGGTTGATTATATCAATCTCGAAAAAGCCATATATGCAGCAGGGTCGTACCTTTGTGCCATTATGAGGTAAAACCTGCTTTTGATTAAGTCCTGTAGAACGATGAAGCCACTAATGAGTATCAAGAGAGTCTAGGAAGGCATAGTTGAGATGACTGTCAGAAGTAGTTTTGTGCACTCATGAATAATCTTGCCATGATGTGTACTGTTCACATATGCACAAATCCAAAATTCCTATATCATGATAACACGCACATTGACTGGCTTCCTGGGCATTAATAGGAAAAAATAAGAGATGTTTCTTGCGACATTTGCATTTGAGAAGAAGAGTCAGGGTGAGAGGTTCTTGACAATCAGCTTGTCACAGCTATGGCTGTACCAAAGAAACACTGACATAATAAGGGGCAGTGCATCGTGAACACACTGGAGATGCTTGCCAGTCTTTTAAACTTCAAGTGTTGACTGAGGGATTTAATGGTTTTAATTAGGACAGAATGTGATCAGGCTCCTATCAGTTTGCTCTTTACTTAGCTTCCTTCCTCCCTAAGACAGTATTCCACTTCACTCTTCTTTGGTTTAATCTTCTACTTGAATACAAGTGTGGTAAAAAAAAAATGCTGTAATTGATATGAGGAAGTCTTGACAATGCTGTACTATTCTAAGTTCAGCCAAGTTGTCTGGTGTACGTAATAGACATGCTGGTAATTGCCTCACCTTGGGCTGACACCTTGCCGTGGTGGTGAAGCTTACATGTCTCAAGTTTGTGTAAGCCACTGGGAAATGAGGTAGATGTGCTGCTCATATCAGTGGAGGAAGAGATGCACTGATAGAAGGAGCACTTTGAAGGAGTGCTTAACCATGAGGAGCCACCCAACCCTCCAAAAGTAGAGTCAAGCAACAAACTAAACATCAGGACAGGTTGTATTACATTGCTGAGATCAGGAACGCTATGAAAAAGTTAAAGGAGTGGCAGTCCTCCTTGTGTGTCAACTTAATAGATTTTGAGAAGGCTTTCGACAACATCAGCAGAGAGGTGTTGTGGAAGTTGTTGTGCCACTACAGGATGCCTGTCAAGATAGTTACCATAGTCGGAGCTCTTTATGAGGGTTTTTCTGGGCAGGTGGTACATAATGGACGGAAGACCTAACCACTATGCATGAGGACTGAGCCAGACAAGGCTGCCTGCTATCTCTCTTGCCCCAATTGCAGACCAGGACAGCTTTTGATAGGAGGCATGGTATCCAATGGTCCTTCACAACATCTTTAGAAGACCGATGATCTGACCCTACTGTTGCACAGAATGCAGGACACGAAGGATCAGACACAGGCCTTGGAGGAGCAAGGTGCAAAGTGAAGATCATTGTTGCAAAGACAAAGCTGATGTGTATCTGTACCAAACGCGGTGATGGTGTGTGGATTGAAGAGGAGCAGTTCGAGGAGGTGGACGAATTCACATACCTCGGGAGCATTCTAAGTAACAAGGGTGGTACTGATGAGGATATCCAGACATGCATTGGGAAGGCAAGGCAGGCATTTGCCATGTTAAGACCAATATGGCGGTATATGGCACTGACAATGAAGACAAGTTAAGAGTCTTTGGGTCAAATCTGAAGGCTGTGCTCCTGAATGGATCTGAAACTTGGCAGTTGACCAAGGGATTGAAGCAGAAGTTGCAAGTATTCATCAATAAGAGCCTGAGGAATATCCTGTGCATTTGGTGGCCAAGACCAATACAAAATGAGGAGTTTTAGAGACAACCAGGGTAACGACCTTTAGAGTAGGAGATTAGACAAAGAGCTTGGGGTTGGGTTAGCCACACACTGAAGAGACCAGATGGATACATAGCCAAGAGGGCCATAGGGTGGAACCCACAGGGGGAGCACGAGAGAGGGATACCCAGCACAGCTGGAGGTGCACAAGAATGGCAGAGTTAGATGAGAGGCAACTCACATGGTGGGAAGTGAAACACACTGCTCAAATTTGGGTCAGGTGGCGGGCACTAGAGGACAACTTATGGTCCACCCAAGTGGAATGAAGAGGATTGACTGAGTGAGTGAGCGCTGGTAATTGAATTCTGGTGTAATACAGGGATACATTATGTCAACTTTACTGCCAAGCACTGCCATCAACTGACTGTCATTTTGTACAAACAAAGAGAGCAGAGTAGAGAAATGTGCTGGACACTTTCTGTTGTTCTGGAGGATCTAGATCATGCAATATTCTATATCAGCCCATTCATGTCATGAGGTAGGTAAGGTCTTCATCCAGCTACCATTTCCAGACTGCCAGGGCTTACTCCAGTTTCAGAGGTTGAAAATGACTAAGAGTATTTCATCTTCCCTGAATGGGATGTTAGTATCCCCCTCTCATTGTGGCATGCAGCAAATTTGTACATGAGTTAGGGTGAAAAATTAGGCCTTCAAATACGTTGCTTCTGGGTGAATATGAGAGGACCATAAGATAAAAAGGTTTAGGGCCCTAGCCTATCCCAGGCACACCTGAAGGAGGACCCAGAGACAGAACTCTAAGCTTTAAACCTAGCTGGCCAAGTGACTTCCAGATGCAACAAGAATGGAGAGACCTTGTTGTTTCCCTGTGCAAAGCATAGCATCCAAAGGATCAGAAATGACTGACAAGGACAACAGAATTTCAATGGCAATGCTTGTTGACATCATTGTTTTGCACCCCACTTTTACAATACAGGAGAGATACTTTGTTTCCTTTAGTCTGACTAGTTCTTGGCCATCTTTAGGCAGGTATCCTTTGTTCTCCTTCCAAAGCCACCCTGTTTGTTTCCTTTTTGAATTTTTCTGCAACTTGTACTCTATCTGACTGGCTGGTATATTCTCATCTTCCTAATCCTAACTGCAGAACCCCCAGGAATGGAGAGACCTTAGGATTTGTTTCCCTGTGAGCCACTTGATAATGGTGATGATAAGTCATGCATTCCATGTGTGACTGCGTAAACTTAGAGTTTCATTCTTCCTGCATCTTGATTGCTTCTGTTGTTTGTGTTTCTTTAGCTGTCCATGTTCCACCATAGAATAAACAGCAAGATTCGTGATGTTTGTGATGATGACAATGAGGATAATGATAATGATCAGACATACATGTCACATGTGGGTGGATAAATGTTTTTGCATCTTGATTGCTTTTGTTGTATGAGTTGTCTTCAAGTCGTGAAGCTTCAATGGCAATGCTTGCTGAAGTCATCATACCTAGGCAGTCAAGGCCACAATGATACGTTGGCATCCACTGCAATCCTTTGCACAGGTGCTCCATGTCTCCATCTCAAGTCAGGTCCTGTTCTTCCTCTGCTGAAATTTTCTATAATTTACACTGCTTGTCTACCTTGTCTAATACTACTCTCATCATCCTAACTGTAGCAATAGGCAATTTTCATTATGATGTCATGCCATAAGTGAGAATCCTTAAAGCGTTTGTTTAGCTCACTGGGATTGGGCTGCTATTTATTGTATTTATTAGGAAAAAATCTGAACTCTGGTTGTTTTAGTCAAATGACATCATAGTGCAAACAGCCTATTGTTTGGTGATTATCTTCTTGGCTAGGTCCTGGATTCCTCTTTTTGTCACAGCATTAGCAGCTTCCAAGGTACTTGCAGTGATTCATTGATTGGCACTCCTGCTCATCTGCCAACCGGCTGGCTGCCTTTCCTCTTTTGGTTAGCTCAATGATCCTTGTCAGCTATTATCAAAGGCTACCTATCTAGCTGATATGAGCTGAGGTGTGTGCTTTGTCCCTTGATCCCATGCCCTAGTGCCTTTAAATTTTGAGGGTTTTTACTTTCCATAGTTATCACACTGATAAAAATTCACCCCTAGAAAAAGATAAATATTATGATTCATCCATGCATTTCGCAAATATGTGCGACAAAATTTGGAAATTTAAACCAATTTTGGAAGCTTTTTCACAAATTCTAAACCTTGCAAAAAATAAAAGGCATTAGGGTGAGTACTTAGATGCCTAAAAACTAGTCTAAGCTTTTCCTTAACTACCTTCCTGCACTATCTGTAAACGTCTGGTTGAACCTTACCAAAAAAATTTCACTTATCAGTGTGAAAACTGTCAAGTGAAATGTAAAAGAATAATTGACCTAGGCGCAACTAAGCGGGAGTCGAAACGAAGACAGAACAATGACATATCTCATGTCTCGAACGTGAAGTCACAAAATGAAGCCAGAGTAAAGTCGAAATGAAAATAAAGCCGATTTGAAGTCGAAAAAAGCCGGTTTAAAGTAAAAAAGAAGTCAAACTGAAGTCGAATTACAACCGAACTCGAAGTCGAAATAAAGCTGAATTCCAGTCACTGGCAGAATAACCTGAAAAGAAACCCAAATTAGAAAGGCAAGAGGGAGGAGCCATCCCACATCCAGGGTCCCATTAGTAAATCTAATTAGATTATCTATTTAATTAAGTGAAGTCAGAAGTATATAGACTTCTGGTCGAAAGTGTGTGCTTGTATGCTTTGTAAGGTTCATCCAGAGCTCTATTTACCCACCCCTCCCAGCCCACAGTGAATGTACTGACCACCACTTTGATTTTTCATCAGAGTCCTGTCTGGCTTGGGTGTAGCACTCAGCATATTGATGAATAACAGGCTGGGTGGTCTGTCTTTGAAATGTCTTTTTTATGGCAGTGGCTGACTGGAGAAGAACTGGTCATCATGAAATGAAGAGAGCTGAAAAATAAAACAAGGCAGTTAATGAAGAACAAAGTGAACATCATCCGACTGTAATAACTGCACTTATCCTTTGCACAGTTGACACAGTTTTGGTGTGAATAGGCTTTTTGATGAACGATATAAAAATTCATCATCTTTGGAAATCGAACANGTATTGAGATATCTATTCCTAAGTAGAAACGAATTAGAAGTTGATCCAAACAAGACTTTTCAGAAAGATGACTGCAATCTAGTGATGCACAACAGCAACAACAAATGTCATTCACCCTGAGCAGGTTTAGGTATTTTCTAAATGCCACAGTGGAAACTCAGAGAATTGAGGGCAAGATGTTGTAAAGGAATCATCATGAGTAAAATGTCCATCAAGTGTGATCCTTCAAAATGGTTCCTGTACAATGTAGGTATCAAATCTATGGCAAGACCAGTTCAGTAAATTTATCTGGTTTTGAGCAGTAGAATAGGATACTCCCAGAGTCCCACAGTTGCTGTTCTTAATGGCCAGTGAAACCTTGTGTTATGGGCCAGTGAGAAGTTGGTAATATTTGTATTGACGTCCCATGATGTTGTGTAGTACTCTGACTGGTTTGCAGTTCTAGCTCAGATGTAAATAATTCCTGGTGTAAATTAGTATTAATTGCTGCATAGACCTGAAGAGTCTGTAAGCCAGAGCCAATCCCAATCGAGGATCCTCGATTGAAAGTGTATTTTAAGAATTGATCAATAGTAAAAGGGAGTCATGGGAAGACATGGTTAAGGTAGTATAACAAATAATGGTTTTGCTGGTAATCTTTCGCAGCATCAATAACCTACTCATCAGTGGTATGTACTGATCCATGCCTGCAAGGACATGCACAAGTTTTCTGCAGCCACCCTAATAAAACAGAAAGGTTGAGACTCAAACTAATCATCCTCCAAATAAAGCAGAATAGAAGTATAATTTACAGTATGTTTGTCATCCAACATTTGAATAATTATAAGAAGGGGGCTCAGTGATTCAATTCACCATGACACTATCACTCTTTATACAGGTTTCTGTATTTAAAGAGATGCTGATGTACTGCTTGAACTATTAAGGTTCAACCAAGTCTTCTTCTAAAGGAATTGCAAATTCTCTGAAATTAATATTATCAGCTGAAACTGGTTAACACAGCATCCATGATGTTTAAGTTGAATCATGGAGGCTGTAGATGAATCAGCTGATATCGAACATGCTGATGAAGCTGTGGACTTTGACATTCATCAACCCTTGAAGATGTCAGTCAGGTCATAAGTGGATGAAGTGTCACTCGCTGGCTGGCTGCATAAAATGTTTCTCATAATGTTTCTCATACACGAGAGTGGGGTGAGGCAGTAACAGATATCAAAAGAGGGGGGGAGGGGTTGATTATATCAATCTCGAAAAAGCCATATATGCAGCAGGGTCGTACCTTTGTGCCATTATGAGGTAAAACCTGCTTTTGATTAAGTCCTGTAGAACGATGAAGCCACTAATGAGTATCAAGAGAGTCTAGGAAGGCATAGTTGAGATGACTGTCAGAAGTAGTTTTGTGCACTCATGAATAATCTTGCCATGATGTGTACTGTTCACATATGCACAAATCCAAAATTCCTATATCATGATAACACGCACATTGACTGGCTTCCTGGGCATTAATAGGAAAAAATAAGAGATGTTTCTTGCGACATTTGCATTTGAGAAGAAGAGTCAGGGTGAGAGGTTCTTGACAATCAGCTTGTCACAGCTATGGCTGTACCAAAGAAACACTGACATAATAAGGGGCAGTGCATCGTGAACACACTGGAGATGCTTGCCAGTCTTTTAAACTTCAAGTGTTGACTGAGGGATTTAATGGTTTTAATTAGGACAGAATGTGATCAGGCTCCTATCAGTTTGCTCTTTACTTAGCTTCCTTCCTCCCTAAGACAGTATTCCACTTCACTCTTCTTTGGTTTAATCTTCTACTTGAATACAAGTGTGGTAAAAAAAAAATGCTGTAATTGATATGAGGAAGTCTTGACAATGCTGTACTATTCTAAGTTCAGCCAAGTTGTCTGGTGTACGTAATAGACATGCTGGTAATTGCCTCACCTTGGGCTGACACCTTGCCGTGGTGGTGAAGCTTACATGTCTCAAGTTTGTGTAAGCCACTGGGAAATGAGGTAGATGTGCTGCTCATATCAGTGGAGGAAGAGATGCACTGATAGAAGGAGCACTTTGAAGGAGTGCTTAACCATGAGGAGCCACCCAACCCTCCAAAAGTAGAGTCAAGCAACAAACTAAACATCAGGACAGGTTGTATTACATTGCTGAGATCAGGAACGCTATGAAAAAGTTAAAGGAGTGGCAGTCCTCCTTGTGTGTCAACTTAATAGATTTTGAGAAGGCTTTCGACAACATCAGCAGAGAGGTGTTGTGGAAGTTGTTGTGCCACTACAGGATGCCTGTCAAGATAGTTACCATAGTCGGAGCTCTTTATGAGGGTTTTTCTGGGCAGGTGGTACATAATGGACGGAAGACCTAACCACTATGCATGAGGACTGAGCCAGACAAGGCTGCCTGCTATCTCTCTTGCCCCAATTGCAGACCAGGACAGCTTTTGATAGGAGGCATGGTATCCAATGGTCCTTCACAACATCTTTAGAAGACCGATGATCTGACCCTACTGTTGCACAGAATGCAGGACACGAAGGATCAGACACAGGCCTTGGAGGAGCAAGGTGCAAAGTGAAGATCATTGTTGCAAAGACAAAGCTGATGTGTATCTGTACCAAACGCGGTGATGGTGTGTGGATTGAAGAGGAGCAGTTCGAGGAGGTGGACGAATTCACATACCTCGGGAGCATTCTAAGTAACAAGGGTGGTACTGATGAGGATATCCAGACATGCATTGGGAAGGCAAGGCAGGCATTTGCCATGTTAAGACCAATATGGCGGTATATGGCACTGACAATGAAGACAAGTTAAGAGTCTTTGGGTCAAATCTGAAGGCTGTGCTCCTGAATGGATCTGAAACTTGGCAGTTGACCAAGGGATTGAAGCAGAAGTTGCAAGTATTCATCAATAAGAGCCTGAGGAATATCCTGTGCATTTGGTGGCCAAGACCAATACAAAATGAGGAGTTTTAGAGACAACCAGGGTAACGACCTTTAGAGTAGGAGATTAGACAAAGAGCTTGGGGTTGGGTTAGCCACACACTGAAGAGACCAGATGGATACATAGCCAAGAGGGCCATAGGGTGGAACCCACAGGGGGAGCACGAGAGAGGGATACCCAGCACAGCTGGAGGTGCACAAGAATGGCAGAGTTAGATGAGAGGCAACTCACATGGTGGGAAGTGAAACACACTGCTCAAATTTGGGTCAGGTGGCGGGCACTAGAGGACAACTTATGGTCCACCCAAGTGGAATGAAGAGGATTGACTGAGTGAGTGAGCGCTGGTAATTGAATTCTGGTGTAATACAGGGATACATTATGTCAACTTTACTGCCAAGCACTGCCATCAACTGACTGTCATTTTGTACAAACAAAGAGAGCAGAGTAGAGAAATGTGCTGGACACTTTCTGTTGTTCTGGAGGATCTAGATCATGCAATATTCTATATCAGCCCATTCATGTCATGAGGTAGGTAAGGTCTTCATCCAGCTACCATTTCCAGACTGCCAGGGCTTACTCCAGTTTCAGAGGTTGAAAATGACTAAGAGTATTTCATCTTCCCTGAATGGGATGTTAGTATCCCCCTCTCATTGTGGCATGCAGCAAATTTGTACATGAGTTAGGGTGAAAAATTAGGCCTTCAAATACGTTGCTTCTGGGTGAATATGAGAGGACCATAAGATAAAAAGGTTTAGGGCCCTAGCCTATCCCAGGCACACCTGAAGGAGGACCCAGAGACAGAACTCTAAGCTTTAAACCTAGCTGGCCAAGTGACTTCCAGATGCAACAAGAATGAAGAGACCTTGTTGTTTCCCTGTGCAAAGCATAGCATCCAAAGGATCAGAAATGACTGACAAGGACAACAGAATTTCAATGGCAATGCTTGTTGACATCATTGTTTTGCACCCCACTTTTACAATACAGGAGAGATACTTTGTTTCCTTTAGTCTGACTAGTTCTTGGCCATCTTTAGGCAGGTATCCTTTGTTCTCCTTCCAAAGCCACCCTGTTTGTTTCCTTTTTGAATTTTTCTGCAACTTGTACTCTATCTGACTGGCTGGTATATTCTCATCTTCCTAATCCTAACTGCAGAACCCCCAGGAATGGAGAGACCTTAGGATTTGTTTCCCTGTGAGCCACTTGATAATGGTGATGATAAGTCATGCATTCCATGTGTGACTGCGTAAACTTAGAGTTTCATTCTTCCTGCATCTTGATTGCTTCTGTTGTTTGTGTTTCTTTAGCTGTCCATGTTCCACCATAGAATAAACAGCAAGATTCGTGATGTTTGTGATGATGACAATGAGGATAATGATAATGATCAGACATACATGTCACATGTGGGTGGATAAATGTTTTTGCATCTTGATTGCTTTTGTNACAAAGGGAGCAGAGTAGAGAAATGTGCTGGACACTTTCTGTTGTTCTGGAGGATCTAGATCATGCAATACTCTATATCAGCCCATTCATGTCATGAGGTAGGCAAGGTCTTCATCCAGCTACCATTTCCAGACTGCCAGGGCTTACTCCAGTTTCAGAGGTTGAAAGAGTAGAGAGTAAAGAGTATTTCATCTTCCCTGAATGGGATGTTAGTATCCCCCTCTCATCGTGGCATGCAGCAAATTTGTACACGAGTTAGGGTGAAAAATTAGGCCTTCAAATACGTTGCTTCTGGGTGGATATGAGAGGACCATAACATAAAAAGGTTTAGGGCCCGAGCCTATCCCAGGCACACCTGAAGGAGGACCCAGAGACAGAACTCTAAGCTTTAAACCTAGCTGGCCTTGTGACTTCAGATGCAACAAGAATGGAGAGACCTTGTTGTTTCCCTGTGCAAAGCATAGCATCCAAAGGATCAGAAATGACTGACAAGGACAACAGAATTTCAATGGCAATGCTTGTTGACATCATTGTTTTGCACCCCACTTTTACAATACAGGAGAGATACTTTGTTTCCTTTAGTCTGACTAGTTCTTGGCCATCTTTAGGCAGGTATCCTTTGTTCTCCTTCCAAAGCCACCCTGTTTGTTTCCTTTTTGAATTTTTCTGCAACTTGTACTCTATCTGACTGGCTGGTATATTCTCATCTTCCTAATCCTAACTGCAGAACCCCCAGGAATGGAGAGACCTTAGGATTTGTTTCCCTGTGAGCCACTTGATAATGGTGATGATAAGTCATGCATTCCATGTGTGACTGCGTAAACTTAGAGTTTCATTCTTCCTGCATCTTGATTGCTTCTGTTGTTTGTGTTTCTTTAGCTGTCCATGTTCCACCATAGAATAAACAGCAAGATTCGTGATGTTTGTGATGATGACAATGAGGATAATGATAATGATCAGACATACATGTCACATGTGGGTGGATAAATGTTTTTGAATCTTGATTGCTTTTGTTGTATGAGTTGTCTTCAAGTCGTGAAGCTTCAATGGCAATGCTTGCTGAAGTCATCATACCTAGGCAGTCAAGGCCACAATGATACGTTGGAATCCACTGCAATCCTTTGCACAGGTGCTCCATGTCTCCATCTCAAGTCAGGTCCTGTTCTTCCTCTGCTGAAATTTTCTATAATTTACACTGCTTGTCTACCTTGTCTAATACTACTCTCATCATCCTAACTGTAGCAATAGGCAATTTTCATTATGATGTCATGCCATAAGTGAGAATCCTTAAAGCGTTTGTTTAGCTCACTGGGATTGGGCTGCTATTTATTGTATTTATTAGGAAAAAATCTGAACTCTGGTTGTTTTAGTCAAATGACATCATAGTGCAAACAGCCTATTGTTTGGTGATTATCTTCTTGGCTAGGTCCTGGATTCCTCTTTTTGTCACAGCATTAGCAGCTTCCAAGGTACTTGCAGTGATTCATTGATTGGCACTCCTGCTCATCTGCCAACCGGCTGGCTGCCTTTCCTCTTTTGGTTAGCTCAATGATCCTTGTCAGCTATTATCAAAGGCTACCTATCTAGCTGATATGAGCTGAGGTGTGTGCTTTGTCCCTTGATCCCATGCCCTAGTGCCTTTAAATTTTGAGGGTTTTTACTTTCCATAGTTATCACACTGATAAAAATTCACCCCTAGAAAAAGATAAATATTATGATTCATCCATGCATTTCGCAAATATGTGCGACAAAATTTGGAAATTTAAACCAATTTTGGAAGCTTTTTCACAAATTCTAAACCTTGCAAAAAATAAAAGGCATTAGGGTGAGTACTTAGATGCCTAAAAACTAGTCTAAGCTTTTCCTTAACTACCTTCCTGCACTATCTGTAAACGTCTGGTTGAACCTTACCAAAAAAATTTCACTTATCAGTGTGAAAACTGTCAAGTGAAATGTAAAAGAATAATTGACCTAGGCGCAACTAAGCGGGAGTCGAAACGAAGACAGAACAATGACATATCTCATGTCTCGAACGTGAAGTCACAAAATGAAGCCAGAGTAAAGTCGAAATGAAAATAAAGCCGATTTGAAGTCGAAAAAAGCCGGTTTAAAGTAAAAAAGAAGTCAAACTGAAGTCGAATTACAACCGAACTCGAAGTCGAAATAAAGCTGAATTCCAGTCACTGGCAGAATAACCTGAAAAGAAACCCAAATTAGAAAGGCAAGAGGGAGGAGCCATCCCACATCCAGGGTCCCATTAGTAAATCTAATTAGATTATCTATTTAATTAAGTGAAGTCAGAAGTATATAGACTTCTGGTCGAAAGTGTGTGCTTGTATGCTTTGTAAGGTTCATCCAGAGCTCTATTTACCCACCCCTCCCAGCCCACAGTGAATGTACTGACCACCACTTTGATTTTTCATCAGAGTCCTGTCTGGCTTGGGTGTAGCACTCAGCATATTGATGAATAACAGGCTGGGTGGTCTGTCTTTGAAATGTCTTTTTTATGGCAGTGGCTGACTGGAGAAGAACTGGTCATCATGAAATGAAGAGAGCTGAAAAATAAAACAAGGCAGTTAATGAAGAACAAAGTGAACATCATCCGACTGTAATAACTGCACTTATCCTTTGCACAGTTGACACAGTTTTGGTGTGAATAGGCTTTTTGATGAACGATATAAAAATTCATCATCTTTGGAAATCGAACAGTTATGGCGCGAAGTAACCCATGTGGAATGCGCACAATTTCTGTAAGATCTGATTTTGTTAAATTATTTACATTGATCACTCATTTATTTTCGAAATCAGATATTATGAAATTATTTGGCATAGAATTCTAACCTCAGTGGAATGTTCTAGTCCGATCCCAAACGTAAAAAATGCAATTAAAGTAACTTCCCCAAGACAGAAAACTAATTACTCTGTTTTGTTACTGACTTAACCCTTAACCCTTATCCCTTTTAAGGGAAGTATTCCCCAGATGGAGTTGTTTTCCAAAAGGTTTTCCCGCCAAACCATAACCGCACCATTGCTCTCACTTTTCGTGAAATTTAATCCGGAAAAAGCTTTAGGACAAGGAGGATTTCAACGAAAACTGGACTGAACTTAACTTTATGTCGAGTCGCATTTGTAAACTTGAGAAAAAAAAACCTAAAATTCTTAGAAACGTCTTGGTGCAGTGTCCATTACAAACAGTTTTATGAATCAACAGTTTTTAACAAAATAAAGAAACATCGTTTAAAGAATAGAACAAGGCGCCTAACTCGAGTGCGGGTTGATGAAGAAACGCCAAGGTTGTGAACATGGTGTTTCAATGTCTCCACGTGTTTTGTTCGGGAGTGAAGATCGGTGAACACTGCTGGAACTGAATTCCTTCATGAGCTGAACTAGAAAGTCGCTTCACGGGCAATTTCTGCTAACAGCATTAAAACTTAAGTTAAGGGCTAAGTAAATTAAACTTAAATTATTTGAAAAGTTACAATGTAAAAATGAAAAACACCTAAGGAATGTCATGTTTGGTTTGTCACGTCTCGAAACATTTGCGCAGTAAAGTATACCGGAAATTACTCAAACACAAAATAGCACTGACCTCATTCCTTTTGTCAAGAAATTTCTTTTCAACAAACTTCTAAATGTTGATGGATTATTTTTGACGTAGATAATTTAGGGAAGAAAGCAAACTGTAAAGATCTTTTTTCGGATACCTGGCGCTCATATTCGCTGGATCTGTCAAAAGCTGAATGAACCCTGTGCCAACTGCGCCAGGGTTTTAGCTGAACCTCACTATCCACACATGCTAATGTTGTATCCTGATTGGCGGTGGCTCTTTGCTTTTCTAGGGCTTCCCATCACTAAACAGCTGCAAAAAATCTCTTTCACTCTTATTAATTTTGCTAAATCAGAACTAAGTTTTTTTGTGATTCGCAAGGGAATGCTGTGTTAGGTTATTTTTTTCCTTTGTTGGCAAGGATTTTACGCGAACATTGATGTTATCCGACATGAGTTAGTTTGAATTCCTGGTTGGCTCTTTTTCCTAGCGGATGTTTTTACAGTGACAGTGACAGTTGCTTCCCACGTGGGATAGATCCAAGTGCTGATTGGCTGTTTTTTCGCGCGGATCGTCTCTTTTTCAAGCAGATTTTCTGTGGGTTACGCCTACTTGTCCACCCTTTTCAGTATAAAATCATGGCAAATTTATACGCTGCGATTTGTCCGCCCTATTTGTTGGTTCAGTCAAACAAGTCAAGATATAACGAATTTTCGGCCCGATTTGTTTACTTCACTTGAATCACTGGATGAAAGTAGGTCTAGTTTCTAAATCTGTTGCAATTCAACAGTATTGAAAATGCTATGCTTCGCATAAAAATATACTCGGATTTTTTCTCGCTCTTGCGGCGGGGATCACCACAAAACCCATCATACCTCGGAATACCTATATCTCTACATGCCATAAGGCTTTGGCATTCCTCTTCCATCCACTTCAGTTTCCCGCTAGAGCTGACAGACACCCATCAATCATTATCCATGTTGGAGGTCGACCTGGTCTTGACACCCATCATATCAGCTGAGATTTTATTATCAGAACTCTACGTTACAGATCAGAAACTCGAAGTCTGAGTTTGTGTGTTAGGGGTGGGGGAAGGGCACCCACTGCGAATTCACGGGGATCGGGAACCCATCGATGAACATGCACCGTTGCGCAAAGTGGACCGCACAAAGGAAAGCTCGGCGAAACGACCTGGAAACGAAGGGGAACAGAAAGGAATGCGTCACGATCAGTTTAGCAAGGCCAGGAATTCCTAAACGCGGAAGGACTTGAGTAAAACCATTCAAGCCACGCCCTACTTGTATCCCTGCATAGCCGAGAATACAGATTTCCAAGAATAATGGTATAGCGCTCCTTTCTACTTGTTTCTGTACTGCTAAAAGCATAAAGTCCATATGACTACGACTACATTGAATCCAGAGACTGAAACCAAAAGTTCAATTCATCAGGCCCATTTTATTTCCATTAATTAATTAATACATGGAAACCAACAGTTCAATAGTTATTAATATCAAAAAAGACTGAACAGATTATCTATACACTGTACCACGGGGGTACTCCTTTATATGGGCTTTATAGGTATGTGGGGCCCTAAAGGGTAGGGTTTTTCAGCCGTTTTGGTCACAAATAGGGTATCGATTTTGGCCATTTTGGTTATAAGTGGGGAATGGTTTTAGCACCCCAGTCTTGAATTGGGTATGTTTCCTGAAGACCGTCAATAAATGCCCTTCAATAAAAGCTCTTCATAACTTATGTTTAGGGCAACTGTGTCAGCCGGAACAGTCGTAAATAGGCTATCGAATTTTTGGTCAGGTCATAAATAGGGTAACAAAAAACGCAGATTTTGGTCATAAATAGGGAAAGGGTGTTGAGAAGTGGGCCGCACACCCTACCCAACTTTTCTGGAAGTACCACCCCCACCCCCACCCTCGATCAATACATTTTGGTATTTCCCGTCTAGTAATTACTTTTGTCTTCTCTTCTACAGAGATTTGTTTCTTAGTATAATCAAACAGGGAGAATTAGAGGAACTATCCAGATGTCTATTAGCCTTCACTACAAAATTATCTCCACCACTGAAGTATACAAAATACAGTCATTTAGATACTTAGTCATGTTCTGGGACAAGGGGGTGGGAGCCCGGGAAAATAGTGGGCGCGAGGAGAAAGGGTGGAAAGTAGGAGAAAAATGCAAAACGTTAATTTTTGCCTTTTGTAATTAAATGTCTTAGAATACTTTCAAACAAAAAACCCAAAATGTTTTTTGACTTGCATTCTGTGAGACTTCTGAGCCAGCGATCAAACGAAAATGCGCGCTCGGGCTAAAAGACAGGCTTACTTCCGGTGAACTCTGTAAAACTTTTTACTAACCTGCCTTCTTACGGTGGTTCCGTCGTAGGTCACAAAATGTCAAAAGGCATGAGTCCACATGTGTCATGTAATCTGTCAAAAGAGGCAAGCAAGACGAGCGAGGCTGAATACAAATTATTTTTAACCCTTTAAATGTTTTTCTCGTTACTCCGTTATTCCATTTAGTAACACTCGGGAGGGTAGGACGTCCTTCCCACGTTAACAGTTTTGCTCAGTTGGCTGGCCTTCGGTACGCCGTGAGCTGCCCCGTCCTTCATTGAACAAATACAAATCATCCAGCGCACGATTCCACTTGCTGTGTCTTACCTGTCTTTGGCTAATCTTCGCGGTATTCCGAGTCACCTAAGTCCAGTCCCTGAACTATTTTGAGCCCTGGGCAAGGAAGGGATCGGAGAGTTCAGTGACAAGACTAGAGGGAAGTCCAGCTGCAATTAACTGACAGGGGCACACAACAAACCAATGAGTCAGAATTAATCAGGGACCATTATGACTTCGATTTATCTAACAAATAATCATTTCTAAAAAGGTTCCACTTACGGGCAAATTTATATCCGATTTATTCCAGAATCCTTCCCCCAGCCAGCAGACTGGGGACGAGAAAGAACATGGCAGGTCACGAAATGGAGAGCTGGATAATTTTCGATGGAAGTAGTCCCCTCAGCGACTTTCTTGAAAAAAACCGACCTTCCTCTATGAAGCTTGTAAATATGGCGGTTTTCGCAGGTGATCCTCAACGACGACCAACCGTGTTTGAATTCCCATTGTCGATTCCCGAACCTCAGAAACAGATACTTCTTGAAAGGTGGGAAAAATTAAAGACAAAGAAACGTGGGAAGATTACCAACGACGATGTGAAACATTTAGCAAAGAAACATTCTTACAAGTCAGGGAAGTGGTTATTCAATTNGAACCTTACCAAAAAAATTTCACTTATCAGTGTGAAAACTGTCAAGTGAAATGTAAAAGAATAATTGACCAAGGCGCAACTAAGCGGGAGTCGAAATGCAGACAGAACAATGACAGATCTCATGTCTCGAACGTGAAGTCACAAAATGAAGCCAGAGTAAAGTCAAAATGCTACCAGATCGAAGTCGAAAATAAAGCCGATTTGAAGTCAAAAAAAGCCGGTTTGAAGTAAAAAAGAAGTCAAACTGAAGTCGAATTACAACCAAACTCGAAGTCGAAATAAAGCTGAATTCCAATCACTGGCAGAAAAACCTGAAAAGAAACCCAAATTAGAAAGGCAAGAGGGAAGAGCCATCCCATATCCAGGGTCCCATTAGTAAATCTAATTAGATTATCTATTTAATTAAGTGAAGTCAGAAGTATATAGACTTCTGGCCGAAAGTGTGTGCTTGTATGCTTTGTAAGGTTCATCCAGAGCTCNACACTGATAAAAATTCACCCCTAGAAAAAGATAAATATTATGATTCATCCATGCATTTCGCAAATATGTGCGACAAAATTTGGAAATTTAAACCAATTTTGGAAGCTTTTTCACAAATTCTAAACCTTGCAAAAAATAAAAGGCATTAGGGTGAGTACTTAGATGCCTAAAAAATAGTCTAAGCTTTTCCTAAACTACCTTCCTGCACTATCTGTAAACGTCTGGTTGAACCTTACCAAAAAAATTTCACTTATCAGTGTGAAAACTGTCAAGTGAAATGTAAAAGAATAATTGACCTAGGCGCAACTAAGCGGGAGTCGAAACGAAGACAGAACAATGACATATCTCATGTCTCGAACGTGAAGTCACAAAATGAAGCCAGAGTAAAGTCGAAATGAAAATAAAGCCGATTTGAAGTCGAAAAAAGCCGGTTTAAAGTAAAAAAGAAGTCAAACTGAAGTCGAATTACAACCGAACTCGAAGTCGAAATAAAGCTGAATTCCAGTCACTGGCAGAATAACCTGAAAAGAAACCCAAATTAGAAAGGCAAGAGGGAGGAGCCATCCCACATCCAGGGTCCCATTAGTAAATCTAATTAGATTATCTATTTAATTAAGTGAAGTCAGAAGTATATAGACTTCTGGTCGAAAGTGTGTGCTTGTATGCTTTGTAAGGTTCATCCAGAGCTCTATTTACCCACCCCTCCCAGCCCACAGTGAATGTACTGACCACCACTTTGATTTTTCATCAGAGTCCTGTCTGGCTTGGGTGTAGCACTCAGCATATTGATGAATAACAGGCTGGGTGGTCTGTCTTTGAAATGTCTTTTTTATGGCAGTGGCTGACTGGAGAAGAACTGGTCATCATGAAATGAAGAGAGCTGAAAAATAAAACAAGGCAGTTAATGAAGAACAAAGTGAACATCATCCGACTGTAATAACTGCACTTATCCTTTGCACAGTTGACACAGTTTTGGTGTGAATAGGCTTTTTGATGAACGATATAAAAATTCATCATCTTTGGAAATCGAACAGTTATGGCGCGAAGTAACCCATGTGGAATGCGCACAATTTCTGTAAGATCTGATTTTGTTAAATTATTTACATTGATCACTCATTTATTTTCGAAATCAGATATTATGAAATTATTTGGCATAGAATTCTAACCTCAGTGGAATGTTCTAGTCCGATCCCAAACGTAAAAAATGCAATTAAAGTAACTTCCCCAAGACAGAAAACTAATTACTCTGTTTTGTTACTGACTTAACCCTTAACCCTTATCCCTTTTAAGGGAAGTATTCCCCAGATGGAGTTGTTTTCCAAAAGGTTTTCCCGCCAAACCATAACCGCACCATTGCTCTCACTTTTCGTGAAATTTAATCCGGAAAAAGCTTTAGGACAAGGAGGATTTCAACGAAAACTGGACTGAACTTAACTTTATGTCGAGTCGCATTTGTAAACTTGAGAAAAAAAAACCTAAAATTCTTAGAAACGTCTTGGTGCAGTGTCCATTACAAACAGTTTTATGAATCAACAGTTTTTAACAAAATAAAGAAACATCGTTTAAAGAATAGAACAAGGCGCCTAACTCGAGTGCGGGTTGATGAAGAAACGCCAAGGTTGTGAACATGGTGTTTCAATGTCTCCACGTGTTTTGTTCGGGAGTGAAGATCGGTGAACACTGCTGGAACTGAATTCCTTCATGAGCTGAACTAGAAAGTCGCTTCACGGGCAATTTCTGCTAACAGCATTAAAACTTAAGTTAAGGGCTAAGTAAATTAAACTTAAATTATTTGAAAAGTTACAATGTAAAAATGAAAAACACCTAAGGAATGTCATGTTTGGTTTGTCACGTCTCGAAACATTTGCGCAGTAAAGTATACCGGAAATTACTCAAACACAAAATAGCACTGACCTCATTCCTTTTGTCAAGAAATTTCTTTTCAACAAACTTCTAAATGTTGATGGATTATTTTTGACGTAGATAATTTAGGGAAGAAAGCAAACTGTAAAGATCTTTTTTCGGATACCTGGCGCTCATATTCGCTGGATCTGTCAAAAGCTGAATGAACCCTGTGCCAACTGCGCCAGGGTTTTAGCTGAACCTCACTATCCACACATGCTAATGTTGTATCCTGATTGGCGGTGGCTCTTTGCTTTTCTAGGGCTTCCCATCACTAAACAGCTGCAAAAAATCTCTTTCACTCTTATTAATTTTGCTAAATCAGAACTAAGTTTTTTTGTGATTCGCAAGGGAATGCTGTGTTAGGTTATTTTTTTCCTTTGTTGGCAAGGATTTTACGCGAACATTGATGTTATCCGACATGAGTTAGTTTGAATTCCTGGTTGGCTCTTTTTCCTAGCGGATGTTTTTACAGTGACAGTGACAGTTGCTTCCCACGTGGGATAGATCCAAGTGCTGATTGGCTGTTTTTTCGCGCGGATCGTCTCTTTTTCAAGCAGATTTTCTGTGGGTTACGCCTACTTGTCCACCCTTTTCAGTATAAAATCATGGCAAATTTATACGCTGCGATTTGTCCGCCCTATTTGTTGGTTCAGTCAAACAAGTCAAGATATAACGAATTTTCGGCCCGATTTGTTTACTTCACTTGAATCACTGGATGAAAGTAGGTCTAGTTTCTAAATCTGTTGCAATTCAACAGTATTGAAAATGCTATGCTTCGCATAAAAATATACTCGGATTTTTTCTCGCTCTTGCGGCGGGGATCACCACAAAACCCATCATACCTCGGAATACCTATATCTCTACATGCCATAAGGCTTTGGCATTCCTCTTCCATCCACTTCAGTTTCCCGCTAGAGCTGACAGACACCCATCAATCATTATCCATGTTGGAGGTCGACCTGGTCTTGACACCCATCATATCAGCTGAGATTTTATTATCAGAACTCTACGTTACAGATCAGAAACTCGAAGTCTGAGTTTGTGTGTTAGGGGTGGGGGAAGGGCACCCACTGCGAATTCACGGGGATCGGGAACCCATCGATGAACATGCACCGTTGCGCAAAGTGGACCGCACAAAGGAAAGCTCGGCGAAACGACCTGGAAACGAAGGGGAACAGAAAGGAATGCGTCACGATCAGTTTAGCAAGGCCAGGAATTCCTAAACGCGGAAGGACTTGAGTAAAACCATTCAAGCCACGCCCTACTTGTATCCCTGCATAGCCGAGAATACAGATTTCCAAGAATAATGGTATAGCGCTCCTTTCTACTTGTTTCTGTACTGCTAAAAGCATAAAGTCCATATGACTACGACTACATTGAATCCAGAGACTGAAACCAAAAGTTCAATTCATCAGGCCCATTTTATTTCCATTAATTAATTAATACATGGAAACCAACAGTTCAATAGTTATTAATATCAAAAAAGACTGAACAGATTATCTATACACTGTACCACGGGGGTACTCCTTTATATGGGCTTTATAGGTATGTGGGGCCCTAAAGGGTAGGGTTTTTCAGCCGTTTTGGTCACAAATAGGGTATCGATTTTGGCCATTTTGGTTATAAGTGGGGAATGGTTTTAGCACCCCAGTCTTGAATTGGGTATGTTTCCTGAAGACCGTCAATAAATGCCCTTCAATAAAAGCTCTTCATAACTTATGTTTAGGGCAACTGTGTCAGCCGGAACAGTCGTAAATAGGCTATCGAATTTTTGGTCAGGTCATAAATAGGGTAACAAAAAACGCAGATTTTGGTCATAAATAGGGAAAGGGTGTTGAGAAGTGGGCCGCACACCCTACCCAACTTTTCTGGAAGTACCACCCCCACCCCCACCCTCGATCAATACATTTTGGTATTTCCCGTCTAGTAATTACTTTTGTCTTCTCTTCTACAGAGATTTGTTTCTTAGTATAATCAAACAGGGAGAATTAGAGGAACTATCCAGATGTCTATTAGCCTTCACTACAAAATTATCTCCACCACTGAAGTATACAAAATACAGTCATTTAGATACTTAGTCATGTTCTGGGACAAGGGGGTGGGAGCCCGGGAAAATAGTGGGCGCGAGGAGAAAGGGTGGAAAGTAGGAGAAAAATGCAAAACGTTAATTTTTGCCTTTTGTAATTAAATGTCTTAGAATACTTTCAAACAAAAAACCCAAAATGTTTTTTGACTTGCATTCTGTGAGACTTCTGAGCCAGCGATCAAACGAAAATGCGCGCTCGGGCTAAAAGACAGGCTTACTTCCGGTGAACTCTGTAAAACTTTTTACTAACCTGCCTTCTTACGGTGGTTCCGTCGTAGGTCACAAAATGTCAAAAGGCATGAGTCCACATGTGTCATGTAATCTGTCAAAAGAGGCAAGCAAGACGAGCGAGGCTGAATACAAATTATTTTTAACCCTTTAAATGTTTTTCTCGTTACTCCGTTATTCCATTTAGTAACACTCGGGAGGGTAGGACGTCCTTCCCACGTTAACAGTTTTGCTCAGTTGGCTGGCCTTCGGTACGCCGTGAGCTGCCCCGTCCTTCATTGAACAAATACAAATCATCCAGCGCACGATTCCACTTGCTGTGTCTTACCTGTCTTTGGCTAATCTTCGCGGTATTCCGAGTCACCTAAGTCCAGTCCCTGAACTATTTTGAGCCCTGGGCAAGGAAGGGATCGGAGAGTTCAGTGACAAGACTAGAGGGAAGTCCAGCTGCAATTAACTGACAGGGGCACACAACAAACCAATGAGTCAGAATTAATCAGGGACCATTATGACTTCGATTTATCTAACAAATAATCATTTCTAAAAAGGTTCCACTTACGGGCAAATTTATATCCGATTTATTCCAGAATCCTTCCCCCAGCCAGCAGACTGGGGACGAGAAAGAACATGGCAGGTCACGAAATGGAGAGCTGGATAATTTTCGATGGAAGTAGTCCCCTCAGCGACTTTCTTGAAAAAAACCGACCTTCCTCTATGAAGCTTGTAAATATGGCGGTTTTCGCAGGTGATCCTCAACGACGACCAACCGTGTTTGAATTCCCATTGTCGATTCCCGAACCTCAGAAACAGATACTTCTTGAAAGGTGGGAAAAATTAAAGACAAAGAAACGTGGGAAGATTACCAACGACGATGTGAAACATTTAGCAAAGAAACATTCTTACAAGTCAGGGAAGTGGTTATTCAATTGCCCAAGGTAGGAAGAAAAGTATAATATTTTTGTTTGGAAACAAGCGGTTCTTTCTGATCAGCGCTTCGCTCCTTTGGAGGCCGAATACCAATTTGACCGGAAGCCCGGAATTTTCGAAAAAATTCCAGATCTAAATTTACATATACCGGTAACTAGCGGTAATCAAAGATTAGTGGAGTGCGCTCGACGTCTTTAGTTGGTTTCACTTTGGTTAATTTCGTTTACCGATATTCAACCCATCTTTCTCAATCGACATTCATGCACGTATCCCCTGCGGAGTGTGTTGCGTGACACAACGCGATGCTCACGCAATGTGCTATTAGTACAGTACCAGGAGGAGAGCGTGAGGTTTTGTAAAACCAGAAAAATAAACGACTTTGTGACAGTCTAACCCAAGTTTTTACGTACGTAGTCTCAGGAGTAGTGTAAACAGGCTCATTCTCCACAAGAAACCAATTCATTTTAAAATTAATTCCAATTTTTAAAGTTTATACCTTTATTAATGATTGAGAAAGTCATATTACTGTGATTAGCTGAGAGCCGACCAATTTATATTTTTTAAAAGATAAATAAACATAAATTTGCACTGCAGTTGAAAATATTAACATGCGTGAATATGTAATTTTCTCAGTCATGCACAACCATTTTACCATTCAAGTTTTCTCTCACTGTGACGGACCAAGGAGAAAGAGGGACTGCTCTTGATATGGTATTTTTACACCATCAATTTAAGTAATTTAGATCTGAAATCTTGAAAAACTAAGAAAAACGGCCTGGAATCTGATGCAATAATATTTCCTCTGTATTACAGCACTAACATTGATGAAATTTGGACCAGTGTTGCCAAAGCAGTGGTGAGTGGCACCCTGGGAAGTGCTGCCAATGTGTTTACGAGTGACAACCAATTGATGGAGTATACTATTCTCATCTACAATGAAGATTTCACAAAGAAAGAGCAAGTGTGGGCTGTCGAGAGAAGTCTCAGGACTTTGGGAGTGACATTTACATTACGCTACAAGCC